TATATATATATATTATTTAGGTTAATATTAACCATTAGTGGCCCAAGCTTACTTCAGCAAAGCCCGGATCAAACTTTTGTCCTAATAGACACGTCTACAAAAGTGTAGTTAAATATAATATTGGGAAAAGGCCCAAAAATGAATTTGTGATATTCAAAATGGATCAATTATAACCCCCGTTTAAACTTGAGTCCAAAAATGACCCTGCCGTAATAGAATGGGTCTAATAATGCCCTTGTGTTATTCGAAATGGATCAATTATAACCCTCGTTTAAATTTGAGCCAACTAATGATCCTGCCGTTAAAGAATGGGTCTAATACTACTATTTTCCTCAGTTAGTAATGATTAAGGGTGTAAATGAATATTTAAAAACAGACTAAACCAACAGAATTGTACCGTGCCGAACCAATTTTTAGGTTTCTTTTAATAAAACCGTAGGTTTTTATATAAATATATAACTGTACCGATAATTAGGGTAGGCTTTTTATTTTTTAAAAATAAACCGAAAAAATATCGAACTGTACCGAATAAATTTACATGTGAAAAATATATTTATATATTAAGTTTAAAAATAATAATGTATTAAAATTTGTACATTATTTATATTAATACATCATTATTTACAAATATAAATATTAGAACCATTCTTTAACGGCAGGGTCATTAGTGGGCTCAAATTTTAAACTTATTCGACCCATTCTTTATAAATATTAAAACCATTATCATTTTTAAACATAATATATAAATATCGAACCATACCGAATAAATTTACATGTGAAACATATATTTATACTAGGTATAATAATAGGTCCGATATATTTATATGTGAAACATATATTCACATATAAATTTATTCGGTACGGTTCGAATATATTTACATGTGAAACATATATTCACATGTTAATTTATTCGGTACGGTTCAATATTTTTTCGGTTTATTTTTATAAAATAAAAACCTACCCTAATTATCGGTACAGTTATAAATTTATATAAAAAACCTACAATTTTATTAAAAGAAACCTAAAAATCGGTTCGGCACTGTACGGTTTAGTCGGTTTTTAAATATCCATTTACACCCCTAATCATGACTAACTGAGGAAAATAACAGTATTAGGCCCATTCTTTAACGACAGGGTCATTAGTGGGCTCAAATTTAAACGAGGGTTATAATTGATCCATTTCAAATAACACAAGGGCATTATTAGACTCATTCTATAACAGCATGGTCATTTTTAGACTCAAGTTTAAACAGGGGTTATAATTGATCCATTTCGAATACCACAAGGTCATTTTTGGGCCTTTTCCCTATAATATTTGTGTATGACATTACTAAACTATCTAAAATTTGTTAGCGTCACTGTTAGATTTTCTTTTTGGTGGAATGAAATTTTTTTTATTCATCACCAGAACAAAGTACAATGAGGAAATACAAAAACCACTCTAACAACCAGCTATATATAAAAGTCCCGTACTTAGGTTGCCCAAGTAAGTCTATTTAATATCTTATTCTGTTCAAGTATTATTTATGTCTATCTCCTATCTATCTATATACTTCTTCTATCCATCTCCTATCCTTGTCCCTTTTTCGCTTCTTGATTATCTCCATCACACGAATTTTGCATTCTTTTTTGATTTGATCACATACTCTGTTTGGTCTAGGCACTGAGCTTTGCCATAGGGCTTCATTCCTGCCCTTCCATATGTGATAGTTCAATGCCAATATAGCAAAAGAGAACTCCCTGCTTAGTTTGCCTCCCATTTTCCTGGCTAATCTCTTCCATAGATGATGTCCTTCATAGTTTGTGATTTTTATCTTTAACCATTGGAGAATTTCAGTTATACATAGTTTGGAGAATTGTCACTTAGTGTTCAATTGATTCTGGAGCATTTCCACATAGTACACATAGGCCATCTGAGTTGATTCCTCTGACAGCTAGCCTATCCTTTGTGAGCAGCTTCCTTTGCATAGTCAGCCAGCAAATGAAACTATGTTTTGAAATATTTTGCTTTTTCCAGACCCATCTTCCCCATCGGCATATGTCCAGGTTTCCCTTCAGCCATGAGTACCCTTTCGTGATTGTATACCTCCCTGTTGGTGATTGCCATCCTCCCTGAGTATAGCCCCTGCAAGCTTGTCTCTTATGTGACATATCTTCTTCCAATACCATCTACTCTATTGTGGTACATTGTATAGCCACCAATTTATATTTTTTTAAGTAGATATGGTTGATCCATTTGACCCACAAAGAGTCAGTCTTTTGCGTTATGTCCCATACATACTTCCCTATGGCTGTCTCATTCCATGCTATACAATCCTTTATCCCAATCCCTCCCTCTTTCCTTGATCGACAAACAAGGTCCTAGGCCACTAGTGGTATCCTGTTTGTTTCCACCTTTCCATCCCATAGATAGTTGCGACATATTATTTTTATTCTTTTGAGCACTGCTTTGGGGAGTATAAAAATCGATGCCCGGTATGTGTAGATATGCATCAGCACTGCATTGATCATTTACACTCTACCAGCATAGGATAGGTGCTTTGAACCCCAACTCCTTATTCTGGTTGTTATTTTATCCACTAACAATTGGCAATCCTTTTTTGATAGTTTCTTACATGATATTGGAACACCTAAGTACTTGAAGGGAAGTCTGCCTTTATTGTAGCCTGTTTTTTCACATAAATTCTCTATCTCCATATTAACAGCAAATATGTTGGACTTATATGCATTAGTTGTTAGCCCTGAAGAGTTGGAAAATGTTTGAAACCCTCTTAGTATCAACATGACAGAATTGAATTCTCCTTTGTAAAAGAGTAATACATCGTCTGCAAAGCATAGATGGTTGAACTGTAAGCTTCTACATTTAGTATGGTAGCCAAAGCTTTCATGTTGTGCCACTAACTTCATTATTCTAGTGAAATATTCCATAAATACGACAAACAATAAAGGGGATATGGGATCCCCTAGTCTCAGGCCTCTCTTTCCTTTTATGCTCCCATATAGCCCTCCATTTATAGCCATAGTATACTGAGTAGTTGATATGAATTCCATGATCCACCTTATGAACTTCATAGGGAAATTTAGAGCATATAACATTTCCTCTACAAAGTCCCATTCTATGGAGTCATACGCCTTCTTAAGGTCTATTTTAATCAAGCAACTCCTGGTCGCTGCTTTCCTATTATATAATCTGACAAGGTTTTGACAAATCAATATGTTCTGCATGATTGTTCTTCCAGCTACAAAGGCACTCTGATTTTCAGAGATAATGCTTGGCAGGATGACTTTAAGCCTATTGCATAGCATTTTTGATATGACCTTATACACTGTGTTGCAGCAGACTATAGGTCTATAGTCCCCAACTGCTTCTGCACGGCTACTCTTAGGAATTACTGTAATGATTGTGTTATTAATTACCTTCAGCATCTTCCGTGACTTGAAGAACTCTAGTACTCCCTCCTCAAGGTCTTTTATGATAATGTCCCAACTATCTTTGAAAAATTTGCTGCCATATCCATCAGGACATGGGGCTTTTTCCCCATCAATTTGCCATAAAACCTGTTTGACCTCCTTCTCAGTGAAGTCTTCATTCAATATGTTTCTCTGTTCCTCTGTCACTATTGGTTCTTTTCTCACCAAATTACTACATACATGTATTCTATCTTCTTTTGTAGATCCTAGTAGTTCAATATAAAAATCCACAAAAGCCCCTGCTATCCCCTCCATGTTAGTGACCATACTACCTTTGGAATTCTTGATTGAAAAAATTTTGTTGGCATTCCTTCTAGCCTTCATAAAACTATGAAAGTATATATTATTCTGGTCTCCTTGTTTCAGCCACTGCATTTTGCTTTTTTGCCTTAGGAACTGATCACTTGCTTGCTTTAATCTCCTATAATTGTTTGCCAATTCCTCCTCCTTTCAAATAGACTCTTATTGGTGGGGCTTCGTTGAATCTGTTTTCGACACTTCTCTAGCTCTTCCTTAGCTTGTTCTGCTTTCAGTTCTATGTCACTAAATTTGTTTCTATTCAGCCGTTGGAGTACTTTCTTCAGCATGTTAAGCTTCCCCACTAACTGATACATTATTGTTCCTCTGATTTCATTATTCCAGCTATCCCCCACTCTTACCTTGAATTCAGGATCCATACTCCATATGTTTAAGTACTTGAATGGTCTGTTGATCCTCTGGTTTCCATTTTCCCAATTTATCATAGCTGGGCTATGATCAAATAAGCCCTCAGTCATATAGTGGACCATAGAAACTGGCAGCTGTGATAACCAGTCCATGTTTATCAATACTCTGTCGATTCTGCTATGTACTCTGTCTTCTAAACTTTGTTTGTTGTTCCAGGTGTAATAGGCACCTGTTGATCTCAACTCTTGGAAGTAGCATGTATCATAACACTGCCTGAAATCTCTTGTTTCAGCCATTGTCACTGGGCAACCTACCCTATCTTCCTTATACAGAACACTATTGAAATCAGTCATCACATCCCATGGACCTCGAGTATGGTTGTAGATCTCCTTTATCTCCTTCCATAAGTTCCTTCTAAGTGCCATATCATTGTACGCATATACCATTGTTACATGGAGTTTCTTTCCAGTTCCTTTGTGTCTGACTTCACTATGAATTAATGATCAGTGGTTCTCAGTATGCATACTTCATATATCATTGGCTTCCACAATAACCATATTCTCCCCCGTGGGTGTTGTGCCAAATTAGTTATATACGACCATCCATCACATAGATTAAGAGAAGCTCTGTGAGCTTTGGCTCTCTTAATCTTAGTTTTCAGGAGACCAAACAAGCCAACACCACTATTATGCATAAACAGATGAATATCTCTCTATTTATATGGCTTGTTGAGTCCCCTGATATTCCAGAATTCGATCTTATCTATTAGGTAGGGGATTACCCCCACCCTTCCCATATTCTGGTCCAGCCACACCATGTTCTCCCTCAGGGTTAGAAGAACTGGTTTTGCCTTGTCTTTGATCTTATATATTCATATCCTTGTCAAATACATCAAATGCATTCTTTGTAGGGATTTCCTTGTCAGGTAAAACAATTGCATTCTTTGTAGGGATTGCATTGTCTTCATTTGGTTGCTTCCTTGTCACCTTGTCACTAATTTTGTTTTCTCCCTTTTTGTTCCCCACTGCTTGAGTAGTTTCCTCCCCTGCTTGTTTCTCCTTCTCAATTTGTTTTCCTCGCAATTCTGCTTCTTCCTTGTGCAACTTCCTACATTCTTGCATTTCATGTCCAAAATTCTTACATTTTGGACACAATGTAGGCTTCCATTCATAGTACACCTCTTGCTTCACTATTTTCCCCACCTCATTCTCAAACATGACTTGTGTAGGGTATTGCTGATTTGTTGACACTTCAACTAGCACCCTAGCAAATGCTAGCCGTTCCTTATTGGTTGTTGTTCTGTCAGCCTTTAGAGGTTTCCCTACCATCCTTGAAATTTTTGGTAAGAGCATTCTTCCCCCAGTATTTGATATCCAAACCCTTGAGTCTAATCCATACCGAAATTCTGTCTACTCTTTCTTTGCTCATATCTATGTCTGGTTCCCATGGCTTTACCACTATAAGCTTTTTATCAAACATCTGATCTCCCTCCTAAATAACTTTGGTTCTGCTTTCAATTGTGTGGAATCGCACCAGAAAAACTCCTATATTGACTTGCGCGATCTTATCAATACCCAATCCTCCCCAAATCCTATGAAAATATTTATCAACTACAGCCAGTGGGGGATTGGATCCTAGAACATAGCGTATCACCGCCGATTTCGAGAATACAATTTCATCTTTGATATCTTCCATAGTAATTTTGATATTTTCTCCAGTCGTTTCCTCATAATTTAGGTTTAAACCCTCCGCCTCTGGTGCTGTTCCCATAATTTTACTCCATAAATTTGTTTTAGGGCTCATTTGTTCCTTACTCATCTCACTAATTTCCGTCATTTCTGCCTCTACCCTATCCGTCCAGGATCCCCTTGATTTCTCACCTAATTGAGCAACTGGAGTCTTGTCCTGTGCCATTAGGGTCTTTGCGAGAGCTATTGGTGTCTTCGCCGAAGCCATTGGAGTCATCGCTAATACTTGGCTTAATCTTAATGGCACAATTCCTTGAATTGCATTAATGTTTCGCGTCTTCTTCGCATCAGCTGACTGTGGGATTCCATTTCATCTCGTTTGGTTGCTTGAATTTCCTACCTGACGTTGTTGCCCTCCCCCCCAATTCTTCATTTTACTCGTCATTTTTTAGTGTTACTTGAGAGGAAAAGTCANAGAGATTATTGTCCGACCAGTGACTAAAAAATATTGTTAGATATTCACGGTTTACCTACATTAAGCTGGTTAAAATGATATTTTTATGTATGCGTGTAGAGCTATCTACCTGTTTACCCGAAAAACGGATAGAGTTGAATTTGTACGTAGTTCAAAGGATATGTGATATAGCTTGATATAAATCATAAGGACAAATAGAAATATCAAATATGAGTTGCAAAAAAAAGCAAAATAAGCAAGGTTGGAAAGAAGATGATTGTTTAGACTAAGCAAAATGAATCAATTAATAAAGCCTCAAAGAATAGTCCTTGAATATAGGAGAATATGGTGCTTGAATTACAATGTAGGAAAAAACTGCCTTGTACAGAGATGTAGCCATCCTCTTTATAGTGGAGGATCCTACTTTAGATATAATTAAAAATACATAGTAGAGACTCTATGATAAATCAACTTTTTCCTTTTTCCCGCCGAGATTCTCTCCCTTAGTGTGTTTGCAACGTCTCTTGTTTGTGGGCTCGAGCTCGATCGGCCTAGGTGCCGGTCGGTAGTGCTTCTAGAGCTCGATACAGACTCGGGATCAGGTGATAATTTAGATTCGGTCCCGGTTGGCCTCTGCCCCTTAAGCTTGAAATCATCTCATCATAGTTCAATCCGGACCTGAGCTCGATGATGACTTTGAACTCGGTTATTGACCTATACCTGGAATCCAAAGCTTGTTTGTACCATATTCGGAACCCATCTTGATATTATGAAGTCTTTCTTCGATCCATTATATTTTGGCCTTGATCAATCGTACGAAGGCCGAAATCTATTTCGACCGTATACAGATAGTCCCCTCGTTTCTCGAGAAGGATGTGGTAAGAAACGATATGATTCCTCAATGGCTCGATCGGATTATAAGCTGACGTTCACATTGGGCTCGATCATGACACACGTGATAGCTGTCCCGTCGATTTAGTTTTTTAAGGTATTTAATGTATGTCAGACGGTGATCGGTCACTACTAACATTGAACCGCCATTGCTTTAATCTATAAATAGCCCTTCCTTTTACCATTTACCACTTTTACATCTTCAATCTTCCAAATTTCCCAAGTTCATTTTCGTACCCTCTAAGCTTATTCGCAAATCTGTGATTCCTCTTTGCAAAAGCCCTTCTTCAAATTTACCAAATCTTTATCACTTTCTTCTATTCTTGACCTTTAAATTCGAAAATAGCAAAAACATCGCAAACCATTCCTCAGAAAGAGAAAGGTTCATATTCATAGTCTGCCACCGACGAAACACCGGTAGAGCCACGACATGAGGAGTGCGTTCCTAGGGCATGTGTTCTTACCTCTAATTTCAAAGTCGATAAAGGCTCGTTGGTTCCCGGCCAATGTGAGCCAGTATTGAGGTACATGTGTTCGATAACTGAGAGGCACCTCAAATAGCTGAAAAAAGATTGCAATTGGGAGGGTAAAGAAATAATAATCCTTTCTTCTGACGAAGATATCACCACTTACGTGAAAGGGTTTTTAAGTGTGTATACTTACCCTTTCACTTTAGGTCCCCTTGATTGTGTTATTATTGACTTCTGCCGTCAATACCAAATAACCCTAGGTCAGGGCCATCATTCTTTTTGGCGGATCATTATTTTGATTCGATACTTTGTGAACAAAATCGAGGGGATGCCGTTCACCCTCGACCATATCATCTGATTGTACTGTCCTCGCCTTTTTAGAGGAGGGTTAATAAAACTTCAGCGTCGGGCTACATGTTGATCTCAACTCTTGGAAGCAATATGTATCATAACACTGCCTGAAATCTCTTGTTTCAGCCATTGTCACTGGGCTGCCTACCCTATCTTCCTTGTACAGAACACTATTGAAATCAGTCATCACAGCCCATGGACCTCGAGTATGGTTGTAGAGCTCCTCTATCTCCTTCCATAGGTTCCTTCTAAGTGCCATATCATTGTACGCATATACCATTGTTACATGGGGTTTCTTTCCAGTTCCTTTGTGTCTGACTTCACTATGAATTAATTGATCAGTGGTTCTCAGTATGCATACTTCATATATCATTGGCTTCCACAATAACCATATTCTCCCCCGTGGGTGTTGTGCCAAATTAGTTGTATATGACCATCCATCACATAGATTAAGAGAAGCTCTGTGAGCTTTGGCTCTCTTAATCTTAGTTTCCAGGAGACCAAACAAGCCAACACACCACTATTATGCATAAACAGATGAATATCTCTCTGTTTATATGGCTTGTTGAGTCCCCTGATATTCCAGAATCCGATCTTATCTATTAGGTAGGGGATTACCCCCACCCCTCCCATGTTCTGGTCCAACCACACCATCTTCTCCCTAAGGGTTAGAAGAACTGGTTTTGCCTTGTCTTTGATCTTATATATTCATATCCTTGTCAAATACATCAAATGTATTCTTTGTAGGGATTGCCTTGTCAGGTACAACAATTGCATTCTTTGTAGGGATTGCATTGTCTTCATTTGGTTGCTTCCTTGTCACCTTGTCACTAATTCTGTTTTCTCCCTTTTTGTTCCCCACTGCTTGAGTAGTTTCCTCCCCTGCTCGTTTCTCCTTCTCAATTTGTTTTCCTCGCATTTCTACTTCTTCCTTGTGCAACTTCCAACATTCTTGCATTTCATGTCCAAAATTCTTACATTTTGGACACAATGTAGACTTCCATTCATAGTACACCTCTTGCTTCACTATTTTCCCCACCTCATTCTCTAACATGACTTGTGTAGGGTATTGCTGATTTTTTGACACTTCAACTAGCACCCTAGTAAATGCTAGCCGTTCCTTGTTGGTTGTTGCTCTGTGAGCCTTTAGAGGTTTCCCTACCATCCTTGAAATTTTGGTAACAACATTCTTCCCCTAGTATTTGATATCCAAACCCTTGAGTCTAATCTACACCGGAATTCTGTCTACTTTTTCTTTGCTCACATCTATGTCTGGTTCCCATGGCTTTACCACTATAAGCTTTTTATCAAACATCTGGACTCCCTCCTAAATAACTTTGGTTCTGCTTTAAATTGTGTGGAATCACACCAGAAAAACTCCTCTATTGACTTGCGCGATCTTATCAATACCCAATCCTCCAAAAATCCTATGAAAATATCCATCAACTACAGCCAATGGTCAATTGGATCCTAGAACATAGCGTATCACTGCCGATTTCGAGAATACATTTTCATCTTTGATGTCTTCCGTAGAAATTTTGACATTTTCTCCAGTTGTTTCTTCATAATTTATTCTTAAACCCTCCGCCTCTGGTGCTGTTCCCATAATTTTACTCCATGAATTTGTTTTAGGGCTTATTTGTTCCTTACTCATCTCACTAATTTCCGTCATTTCCACCTCTACCCTATCTGCCCAGGATCCCCCTGATCTCTCACCCAATTGAGCCATTGGAGTCTTCGCCTGTGCCATTGGAGTCTTTGCGAGAGCTATTGGAGTCTTCGCCTAAGCCATTGGAGTCATCGCTGATACTTGGCTAAACCCTAATGACATAATTACTTGAATTGCATTAATGTTTCGCGTCTTCTTCGCATCAGCTGACTGTGGGATTCCATTTCTTCTCGTTTGGTTGCTTGAATTTCCTACATGACGTTGTTGCCCTCCCCCCCAATTCTTCATTTTACTCGTCATTTTTTAGTGTTACTTGAGAGGAAAAGTCATTCTAGAGAGAGATTATTGTCCGATCAATGACTCAAAAACATTGTTAGATCTTCACTGTTTACCTACATTAAGCTGGCCAAAATGATATTTTTATGTATGCGTGTAGAGCTATCTACCTGTTTACCCAAAAAACGGATATAGTTGAATTTGTACGTAGTTCTAAGGATATGTGATATAGCTTGATATAAATCATAAGGACAAATAGAAATATCAAATATGGATTGCAAAGAAAGCAAAATAAGCAAGGTTGGAAAGAAGATGATTGTTTAGACCAAGCAAAATGAATCAATTAATAAAGCCTAAAAGAATAGTCCTTGAATATAGGAGAATATGGTGCTTGAATTACAATGTAAGAAAAAACTGCCTTGTACAGAGATGTAGCCATCCTCTTTATAGTGGAAGATTCTACTTTAGATATAATTAATAATACATAGTGGAGACTCCATGATAAATTAGCTTTTTCCTTATTCCCGCC